TTCAGTAACCAGCTCTATGACTTCATCCTGCTTGTCTTTCTTGTCTGGCCTCTTGTCTTGAAGTGGGCTTGGAGATTGTCTCTTCTTCTTCTTCTGGGACTGAGCCGTTTTCAGCGAGTTCTCGTTTATCTGTTTGTCAAGTTTGGTATTCTGGCCTTTTTGTCATTCTCTAGGAGGATTATGTTCGTATACATCCCCTTTTGATCTTCTTTAATGTTTTCCTACATATTCTTTAGGGCATCCACCTCTTCTAGGGCTATAGCCGAGGTGTCCTTCACTATAACTGGGTTGTTTTTCAGAATGTTGCTGCTGCTGATAATTAATTGACTCTGCGGACGGGCAATATTCTCCGAATTGCCTTCCATCAACTTTTGAGTCATCATCCAGTTATTTGATGTCCAGCCCCTCGCATTACTACGCCTTGTCTCCTGTGGGTACACCAGTTGTCGTGAGGGTACTTGGAGGTGATCTCCGCAGTTTTGACTTCCCACAAAATGGGTTAAAACCTGCTTGCTCTATGCTTTCGCTTGTCGCAGTATAATTTTTCAGAGACGCCAAGCGGTCCATGTCTCTGAGATTGCAGTCGCTGGTTGACGACCTCCGGGGGCCTGCTTGCTCACCCCCGGCTGTCGGTACTGGGGATCCGATCCCCTGCGCCGTAACGGTTGATCCTGAGAGACCTTCCAACGTGGGTTTCTTTTCGGGGTCACCTTCCCCTAGCGTTTTTACGCTGTCGCCAGCGTCTGGATTTGGTCCACGGGTGGTATTTTATTTCCCACCTACCCTCCGGCGTGGCCTGTAAGAGCATTCCCCGATCCGCCACCTGGGGACGCGTCCAATAGAAGACCAGCTACTCCCACGGAATTGTCTGTGTTATATTACTTATTAGACTCTGTTGATACAGTCGCGATCATGTGGACATCTAACTGTATTACCAAGAAAGACACGAAATGATGTGACATAATTGCACCTGAAGACGGGCCTTGTGGTGCAGTTATAAAAATCGCACTATATTGAATTCATCAATTTCATTCATCACTTTAATGGTACTTGCTTCAAATACTTTTTACGAGATTCAACAAATATTCTCCACAGAATTCCTGAGTAACCTGTTTGATTTCATCGCTCAGAAATTGTAATGTCAGCCGTTGTATGTAATCTGACATTTGCTGAAAAAGCAGCGCAAACCAAAAGTTTGCCAGTTTTGAACAAATAGAAGAAGCCTGGATTACATCAGTAACGCATTCAGTTTGATTTGTTGATCTGAAATGTTTTTCATCACATTTTTTACGTATTTTTTCTAGGGCATTTTAAGCATATTTTATTAATCATTTTTGCCAATGTTTTAGGTCATGAAAATCCGACCCCTACTTATAATGCTGATATTTAAAAAAGTTATTTACAAGACACGGAAGTAAGAAACATTCACTTTTACGGTTTTAGGAAACCACAAAATGATTTTCGAAAGTACTGCCCTTTTCACCGCTGCAATATAACTGTAGTACCACAGATTATGGGTACTGTAATAATCCTACGAGTTTGATTCTACCGTGAAAGGAAACTTGTTCTGAATCGATTCGTCCGATTCGGTCCAGCCAAACGTATAACATGGTGTAAGGCAACCGCGAAGTAAGAGAATATATCATGAAAGAACTAGTACCATGGTTAAATGTCCGTGTTCGATAACGATACTGAACGATACAAACAAACAAATCATTTCTCGAATTGCTTAGTGAGGTTAGGTTTCGCGTCATTGGCGTTGCTTCGTCGGAGAATTCTTTTCAAACGAACATTACATCCACTTTTAAGGATAGGTGAACAATCTAACGTTACATGTAGTTGTGATATGTTGAGAGAAAATTCAAGGGCTCATGTAAAAGTTTATATGGTGGCCTATGTATGCTTTAGTTGGTGTGTGTGCGTGCTTTTATATTTGAAGTAATTTTGGGCAAACGTACAACGACCATGGCAAATTTAAATGATGAAAAACTTAAAATGATGGAGGATGAGATGAACAGGTATTGAAATCACATGAAGTGTTGTAAGTGGATTTACAATCTTGATTCGATAATATACATTTAACATATTTTACTGATATTATTGTTATTAGGTTTGAAGCAGAAATAGCTCTTCCTGTTCTTCCTCCACCTCCACCTCCCCCAAATGTGTCAGCAACAACACCTCCGCCCCCACGACCAGTAATAGGTTCTAATACCTACAATCAGGTACCACTTTTTATGAACAGTAAGTAATCTTAAAAAAAAGAAAAATTTTGTCGATTTTCACACATTACCATTGTTTTCCATTAGGTTCAACGTCGCTTAGAGGAACAACAGACCGTTTTAGTCCCAGACTTTTCTGGTAGCGCAGGAGGTGGGCCTCCTCCAATGGGTTTCCAGCCATCTGTGATGCCTCCCGTTGCATTTACTGGAATTCCTCCACCTCCTCCTCCACCACCTCCTTTGTTGATTCCTCATCAAGTACAGAGGGTGCCACCAGCACGACATCGTGAGTTATCTACTGAAATTAATTTTAATTTATAGATAATGTTAAAATTGAATGCTAGAACTTGTTGAGCTTGCTTGTTCTAAGCTTATACTTGGAAAGCTAAGTATTTAAAAACAATGTACTAAAATAATCAGAAGCGCACCCAGGTATCTTGAGGTGGGAGGGGGTGAGACTACTGGTATGCTGAATCTAAAATGTATTTTTATTTAACATACATTTAATATTTATAATGTGAACAATAGAAATATTGAATGAATATTGTTTAGAAATGAATAAAAGCTGTATTGGTTTCAGAGGTGGGGAAGCCCCATGCGCCCCCTCCATCCCCTTGGGTGCACTGCTGTAAATTATCAATATTTTCAAATAGAAATTTTCTATGATAGTACATACCTAGAAATTTCATTTTGAGGATGATATGGAGATGTTTGAAATGTTTTGTAAATCGAGCATTAAATTAATTTACTCTCCATTAGACCTGGTCAATCTAATATTTTAGTAACTGTATTCTAGTAACTGTAAGATGTTGCAGTTATTATTATTATTATTATTATTATTATTATTATTATTATTATTATAACCTCCTTTTATTTTAAGGTATTGTTTTTTTTTCTGTTCTTTTCCCTTTTGTAATATTTGCATGCATTATACAAAAAATTTATATTAATAAATAATTTAACTCTATTTAATAAACATATCATAAAATGTATATCTTAAAGTAAAAAAAAAAATATCATATGATATTTCTGCATTTCCTGCTGAGGTAATTCTATCTTTGTGTGGCCCAACACAATCATTTTCATTTATAGTAAATAATTCTTAGGGAGGTCTTGAGGACTATGGGTAAATACACACACACACACCTCACATAACTAACACGCACACACCTCAAATGAATTTTACTTAATTTATATTTGGATGTTACACATGCTTTTGGTACTGGGCAGCTCATAAAAGTGACAAACAACCTTCTCACATATTTGCAGACTTCGTCCTCTGGGCGGCTCAAGTTCCTCTTTATCTAAACCAGCTTCTGTGAAGCAACCATTCATCATACCAGTTCATTTTTAACCATAACACACTGGACCTTCATTTTTACTGTCTAAACAATTAATCTACTGTTTACTAATTACCTCTGCCAGCATTATCCCTATTCTGTGTATTATTATATGTTGTCATCACTGATGTGCAACCAACCTTGCCATTAGCATATTCCTAGTCTCCTCTATATGTGTGTGCAACTTTCCTTCCTCATGTCATGTCATGTCATGTCAGGTCACGTCATATCACATCAAGTCACGTCATGGAGTCTCTGTTGACACATTTCACAGAACAAAATAATTTTATCCCTGATAGATCATTCCATGATATGTCACTTTGTTTTTGTCTTTATTCTAGTGTCAAACACAAAAATTAGTAAATTATGCAAGCTTTTCTCATTACAGTTTATTCACTTTTTTTAACCTCCATTACTCTTCAATATTATTTTGTATAACTTATTTTCATAATGTTCTTTTTGTATGCTCAATGTTACTCAACTTAGAACTACTTTCCTGCTTAACCATTGTGCTGCCTTATTGGTTTACAATATCAATTATTGTATTGAAATTAACAATTTGATTTTTTTAAATGAATGAATTATCATTTCATGCAGTTGTTCTCTTAGGCAGGTTTCTTGATTTGTATGTCTGGAAAAAGACTATCTGACTGGGAAGTGATAGGATGATGCCGGATTTGATGGCATGTTGTGAGTTGATATGGACCTCCATGCCAAATTCACAAAGAGCTATCTCAAATGTCATCTGAAGTACTCAGACCCAATAACAACTCTTGTCCATATGAATGTGTTGAAAATCCATGAGCTACTCGGGCCAATTCTTAAAATACACTAATTACTAAAAGTTGATTGTTTCTTGTATCAATGTTCCACGTGCAATTTCATTGTGCTGCATTGTGTACAGTAGCATTTGCAAACAACTGTTTTTAGTAATTTGTAATTTTTTATTAAAGTCTTAACTATATTAATCTGATAATTTTCATTTGGTACTCAGCTTGAACAGTATTCGGTTTGAATACTGGAGAATTTTAAGAGCAATGTGATTTTTGTATTTGTGCTTCACATTTGAGGGGTACTCGATGATGGTTTCAGTTAAGATCTAGTGATGAGCAATAACAGTAGTTTCTTCAACAGAAGTCTACAATTATTGCTGCGAACTTGGAGTGAACGTATGACGGAAATGGCGCATAATTGTAATTGTCTCAGGTCGAAGTCTTAACGTTGTAGCAGAACGTTGCCGTGATGGATAATCCATTTGTATTAGTAATGAAGGTTCACTAATTTTAGGTACTGAACGCACAGATTGGCTCCTACCGCACCACATTGGCACTACCGCACAGATTGAAAGAAGAGGGCACTGATTGAGAATAAACTTTAACCATCATGTATTAAATTTTCGTATAGGTGATTGAGGCTCTATTTTTATTTCATACGGCCAGCTCCTCCACCTCCTCCTGCTTTTCTACGAGGGCCACCTCCGCCACTGAGAGCTGTGGCCCCCACTGCTCCACCAGCTGGAACATTTGTAGGTGCAACTCCGCTTCCAACCAACCTTGAGTCACCAACTGGGCCTCCACAACCGTCTGCACCTGTACAAAACGTCCCTACAGTATTGAGGTATTGGAATTATGAATCTGAATATCGCTCTTGCTGTAGTGGCACAAGTCAAAAAAGCTTGTTTTTGAGAGACCTGCTTAAAATTTCAAGTATGAAACAGAACTATGCAACATTGGTAATACTATTCTCATGCATTCAATTTGCAAGATGTAGTTATGCCAATATATCAACAGAATGAGCTCCAAAAACCTTATTTCTTCTTAGTAAAAATTCATTACTGCCAAATTTTTAGTTATTGTTGCAACAAGTAAGCAATATTGGAATCATTATCAAAGTTTTGTGTTGGAAGTAATTTTGACTATTATATATGGGGGAAGTAATAAGTATTTTCTTCTAAATACAAAAACATTTAATACTGTGGGGCTATCAGGATTTCCTACTAAAAAATTTTCATTTTCACTGAATTTAAAGGAATCTTTATTTGTTTATATATAGTTATTTTCAGGGCTCAGATTCTGATGACGTCAAATTTTCATCAGTGCATTCTAGACGAAGCTAGCTTGTAAATGAATGCTTATCACAACCTATAGGTGATAGAAATGTATAGTTATTAGGTCATTTTTTTTTTTTTTTCATTTTTCAATTTTCAGGTCATTTTTTTGGAGCTTTGTGTCATTTTTATGCATTTTGTTTCCTTTTCAAGTTTTTTGTTAGTGAAGGTTTCATGAATTTACAACGACATACCAAAACAATTTTTGTATTGTTTCATCAGTTAATGACAAAATTCACAACTGCAGTTGACTAGTGTAATTTTCCTCCAATTTTTAAGTCATTTTGTAGGTCATTTTCAAATAATTTTTAGGTCATCAGAATCCGTGCCCTGATTATTTATGATGTTTGTAAGTGAGTATTTGAATTATTATTGCTACTATTGAAAATATATTTTATTATATGCAATTTTTATAGTATTTTCATTACAGTGCTACCCCTAAAATATATGTTTCAAAGCCCAGTGGAAAGACCCCAACAGATATTAATTCACTGAGTCGAACAGAAGATGATTCTTCCGAAAGGAAAAAGAAATTTAAAAAGGTATATTTTGCAATATATATCTCTTTGAATCGTAATATGAGTAACATATCTTCAAGCAGCTTTTATTTTTCTTTGAATTTCAAACTCTTATGTTTTTGCAATCCTCTGAATCTTGTTTTGCTTACTGATTGAGAAAATTTGTGTACTTAAATGTGTTCCATCTTCTTACTTATATAATCTTTAATTCTTGTTCAGGGTTGCACAAGGTATCATCTTTGAACAGGGCGAGTTGAGCCCATCATAGATTTTTATTAAATAATAAACATTTGTTATTATATTGTATTTTATTTGTGTAGTGTATATATACTACACAATATTATTTTTCAAGTAATTACATAATTATAACAAAAATATTTAAATAAGTTTTGCCAAATGAAAGAAGGTAACAACGAAAACTGTGTGTCTCAATAAATATTATTATTAATAATTATATATTATTATTATTATTATTAATAAACTCTAGGCATTTTTTTGAGGGGGGCCATGTCCCCAGGGCCCCCCAGATCCGTCACTGTCTTTGAATCTATTACAAGTTATTAGAGCTAATATTTCTTTGGCCAAATTGCTTAACAGTACAAGGAATGATAGAATTGCTGAATATTAAGACTGGAGTGTGCCATGTTAATAATGATATTGTAAATAAATCCTGCAAGTAGGTAGAACTTTGGGCTAATAGATGATATAAGCGGTTATTTTCTTGCTTATATGATTAGGGAACCTGACTTTTTCAGAATGAATTTCAAAATGAATGAAATTATTTATTTATATTGATACATGGAACAGGCAGATTAAGTTTATCTATTGTATCATTATACATATTGTTAAAGTTACAAAGTAATCACAAAATAGTTTAAAGTGTAAGTTTCTGTGAAATGATAGAAATAACACATAATACATGTGTCTTGGAGTATTGTAATCAAGTTACAGGAACAGTAAATTTCATAGCTCTAAAACAGGAAGAAATCATTCTATTTGTGTTTTGGCAGAGTGGAGCATGGGATTCATTTTTAGGGAGATAAAGGTCTGACATGATTTTAGAAATGTGGTTAATGAAAAACAATTTTCCAAACATCCAAGACATATTACTGGTAATATTGTTAATACTTACATCTTTGATTCATTTTCAGTTGGGAGATAAACCAGATCCCTCTGAGAGCTTAGGAGTGTGGGGAGCACGAGAGATGGCAGAGAGAGTCCGCGCTAGTACCATAGTAACTACGATTGGACCCGACCCTGCAACGTCAAGTGCTCCAGCAGGGCGGAAAAAAGATAAGAAACCAAAAAAACATGTTCGCACTGCAGGAGGACAGACTTGGGAAGATTCATCATTAGCTGAGTGGGATGAAGGTTATTTTTTTGTTTCTTTTTCTGTTTGTGTTGAGTTTTTAAATGGTTGGCACCACCCATTTTTTTCATATTTTGAGTTAGTACTGAATGTATCCCTAAGCATTCAAACTCTATCACATTTGTAGTGAATTCTTTGTTATATAAAAAGTTGAATAGAAAATAATTGCTTTCTATGCCACATTTTTTGCTTGAGGGGCTCCTTGCTCTGTTAAGTTGATACAGAATCACAAATTTCTTTAATCTTCTGAAAGTAGTCCAAAATATTTTAGTTAATTAATGGATGAAGTTTTTAAAAAGTTAATATTTATTACTATATTATTTCTATTAGTTTACTCACTGATCTACTCAAAACTTGTTAATTTTCCTTTTATTATTGAGGCTTAATAGCTCACTGTTGTGAAATTCATATGTTTATATTTTTAGTTTTTTGAATTTGTAGAATTCATTAAAATGAGAAGTTTTAATGTGTTTGAATTTCCAGATGATTTTCGAATCTTTTGTGGAGATCTAGGTAATGATGTTACGGATGAAATTCTAACTAGAGCTTTCAGTAAATACAGCTCATTTCAGCGTGCAAAAGTAGTTCGTGATAAACGAACAAATAAGACTAAAGGATTTGGCTTTGTTAGCTTTAAAGATCCTCAGGATTTCATAAAAGCTATGAAGGAAATGAATGGTGAGAAAAAATGTACATTGGATGAACATTTTCAAAATTCCTGTTAACAATAACTTTTCTTACATTTGTTTACTTTTTAAGGTCGTTATGTTGGAAGTCGTCCTATCAAGTTAAGGAAGAGTACCTGGAAAGCACGAAATTTAGACACTGTTCGAAGGAAAGAGAAAGAAAAAGCTGCTCTAGTGGGTCTTCTTTTAGGCCAACGTTGAAATATTGATCTTGGTTGCACATAGATACTGAAAATATTTATTATCTTGTGTAGTATCCACGAAAATTTGTTGGAAGAAATCAAAAGAATGATGTCAACTGAAGAAATGCAAGGTCATGAGTAATTTTTTCCAATGATACCTGAACATTTTATCTGAAGCAAATTTATTGAAGAAAGCTGTTCGTTCCAAGGAACCCAAGCTATTTCTAAAATATTTCTCTACCAACAAGAACGCTGTATTCATCAGTGAAAGCAAATATCTTGTATTATATAGTAATTAATGGTTTTTACAATTGTATTGTGAATCTTCATTAAAAAATATGTTATTTTGTTTCAGATGTTTTTATTTGTGTACATTTGTTTTAAATATGTTTATCAAATGAATTTGATGTGTGAGGTTGATAATATTGATTTACATGCAATAGTCTGCATTAGTACTGTTCAAAATCAAATAAACAAAAAAAATCTTAATAGGGGTCCTAATGGGTGACTCGGGCCCTGGTGGGGTATACTGAGGCTCATAGGTATACACCATTAAA